AAATTATAAAAAGACTATCTTGAAACTTCCTGTGTCAGAATAGGAAATTATTATTTTTCTCATTCAGATGTGCTCTCCTGCCATCTGGTGTCACTTACGTACACATGTTTTATTGCGGAAATGGCATGCAATAGTAACAGCTTGAATATATTTGAAAATTGTATCTTATATGACACAAAGAAAAGGCTATCATATTTTAAATGTTACCTATCAAGTTTGTGGCAAATGCCTATAGTAATAGACTCGTATACCTTCTTGGCCTATGCTCAACCAGGTGAGGAAAAGGAGCCCATTGTGCTATATCCAGGATAAAGGCCACAGTGTACCTACCCAGAGCTTAACATGGAAACCAAAACTTGACACATTCCAAATTTATAAACTCTTAAAACACAAGTGAAGATTTCACTATGTGCAATGTGCATAGAAACGCCTATATTCACAACCAGTTTGGGAATAAACCCAGTAAATCATAAAAGAGATTTTAATGTTGTCCCTGAGACCATTAGTTTTGTTATAAGATAAAAAGGTGTCAAAATTTAATAAATTTGTGCTGTGGTATTTAACCATTTCCATGCCAACATGTGATTTAAGGACAAAGAGTCCTGCCATCGAAAATAATTAGCATGGAAAGGTTTAAAAAGCAATTTAGAAAAAAAAAAATTTGCCTCTGTGACTAGTGGCTGTGGCTGTAGCGAATCTCAGATTGGCTACAAGGAAAAAGGGATAATTTTTTATCAACAGAACTCTAACTTTGTGAACTAGTCTCCTTCACCACAAAACACTGAATTAGTTTACACATGTTCTGCATTCAAAGTCAAGTGTTCCAATGTTTTAGTGCCGATACACACGTAACTGTTTACATCTCGTACAGACGTTTGTCAAATACAAACCACGTCAGATCATGCAGAAAGCTTTGATATGTCAATTTATTTATTTACAGGCAATATTCTCTCACAAAATAACTTCCTGTTCCTTTGAAATTTTGTGGTTGCGTTGTATATAAAGATGACTGATGTGGAGTGCAGAAAAGAAAAATATTTATGTTGAAGTGAATAGCTACACGAGATATCGCGCTTTAAAATGGTATCGAAGGTAACCTGAAAATGTCGTCCGGTTACTTCAAATAGTTTCTATGATATTTGGGTTTTTCCTATCACGTTAAACACATTCCCACAATTAAAAATGGCTGCCACAAGGCCCTAGTGCATGGCAGTAAATGTGTTAACAAGTGTTTACATTCATTATTTAGTTGATATCGCCTTTTGATAAAACATTTTCATTGGTTGCAGAGGAGAGAATACTAACTCAGCTGCTTTACCATTCTAATTTCTTCATCCTGGAATTTGAGAACTTGGCACAGACACAGTCACTACATACACAATTTATATAAGGCTTCTCTACTTTACGTACCATTACCATTAGTAAAGACGCTAACAATCAGTGATATATGCAGTCTAATTAGAACCTACAAAATATAACTGCATCTGGACATCCTATGAGTATAATGTTGAATCAAGGAAACAGAGTTGATCCTGCAGAAGGAGGCAGCAAGTTCATTTGAAATACTGGTAGTATATTTTATTCCTTGACATTGTGCACACTCATACGATTCTGTACAACAATAATTCAATTCTACAGTTAAAAATGAGCCCCATTAATTTTGGATTAAATGTCTGGAACGCGATCAGAGCTCCAGAAATATGCATTCTCTGTGGGAAACATAACACAGACTTATTATAAGTACACTTTTAACGTCAATCTAAGTAAAGTAAAATATAATTAATAATGAGTTGACTGACTGCCATGTGTAAAGTTAGAAAGGAAATTAAAAATATTTGCAATGTTGTCAGTAGCTTTTATTAAGGGACTAGTTCTATACCTGGAGCCCTACAAATGACAATATAAGAATAAATGAATTTTTAAATCACTTTCTTCTGAATGATCTTGTTCCGTGACACCCGATAAGACATCATAATGACGAGATGAATGTTTCCCAGAATCCCACACCTGCTGCCATATCGGCTGCTTTAAAAAGTGCTATAACAAAAGTGACGTGCTCTTCTGCCAATAAGCATTTATGTACATATGAACTTTAAGTTCATTATCTCATGCACATGAGTCTCATAAATTCTGAAAGTACTTTCTTATTTCACACAGCTGTACTGTGCGTCTGAATACGAACTTTCTTCATGCTGCCATTTCTTGAAAGAGTTGGTGAATGTCCACTGAACCCTGGGTTCTGGATTCCCATACCATCTTGTTTTGGTCTCGGTTTCTTGAGACTGGATCTCAGCGGACTCCTCGTTACCGATCCACCTGTAGAGCCGTTTGAGGATGTTGCGGTGGTCATCGAGATGATACTGCCATTTGCTGCATTCTGCTGATGACTGCTGCCAGGTGAGTGGACATACGGTTTACCACTTGCATCCGTCATAGAAATTCCGCCAGAGTTGTTGATGCGTCGGTCTCGGAAACCAGGGTTGTTGAAAGTGGTAGCATCCTCGCCTGTAGGATCATGACCATGGGGCATTGTTGGATCTCCACTGTTTCGCCAAATGATGATATCATACAGAGACATTATGAAGGCGAGAAAGTTGAGGATAATTGATACAACCTGCCAGAAAATGCACAGAACAGAAGAAAAATTAGTTTCAGCTTCACGTCAGTTTTGTGGTTACTCACGCCATGGTTTAAATCAGGGGTGGCCAACCCGCGGGCCGCATGTGGCCCGCCTTGAACATTTTTCCGGCCCGCGAGATTCATCACACTTTTACAAAATATATTTATTTTATAATGGCCAAAGTAGTGAAAACCAATTTATTAAAAAAAAATACATTATTTGTGCATCCATATATTCAAAAATTATCTGTCGAAATTATGAGAAAAAATTAACTTTGATTTTAAAATAATATTAATATTAATAATAATATGGGGATATATAATTTTATATGTGGCCCGCGGAGTTATGATGCATTTCCAAAGTGGCCCGAAAGATCATTTGGGTTGGCCACCCCTGGTTTAAATCCTCACAATATGTATTTTAAAATGGATCCTATATTATCATATCATCCCCTTCTCAGTCTTCCAAATGACTTCCTTATATGAGATATTACCACCAAAATTCTATATGCATTTCTTGCTGCCTAGTACCAGGTATAAAGCATTCTTAAATAAATACTTTAAGGCCATACTCCCCATTACATTGTGTTCCTAATTTCACTAATGAGTCCCTGGCAATGATGAATTGGTGTCACAACCATTAATTCTGGTGCAGGTACCAAAATTTAGTAACTTTAAATGTTTGGTTGCTCTAAAGGGTTTGCAGTTGTGAATTATCAGTACAGCTGTCTTCGCATTAAGCCAACTAATACCATAAAATTGTGCAATTTTTACATTTTATGGAACAAGTTTACAATATGGTGACCATCCATAAGATTTAGCTTGCACTAAAGACCATGTTTGTGATCCAAAAGAAGTTATGGCACTTGCCTCTGAACTTTAGCTATGGGAACTTTGGTCAAGTGTTTATGAACTCCAGACTGTAGCAAAGTGTTTCAATTTGTTGTAAGGGAAAAGGTGTAAACCAGATTTCAACTTCATGCTACTGCAACACACGTGAAACTGCACTGAACATAAGATGTGATGCAAGAGATGATTAAGGTTAACTTATCCTTGTACTTGGATTCATGAACCACCACAGTGCACTTTCCTTTATCTGCAGTACCGGGTCTACAATTTATGAGGCTGCGGTCGTGCTTGCATTGCGTGGTCGGCCGGCGCTCTGTTGATGTGGGCGAGAGTCGTGCGCGTTCTTCCGGTGGGTGACCGGCGAATCAGTTTCAGTGCCGCTAGTAACAGCGAACTACGAATATTTCTCGTCACTAACACATGTTATTACATTAATTTTCTTACCTTAAATCACAAAAGATGTTCAAAGTGACTTCCTTGTGCTTGCAGGCAAGCTTCACATCTCGTTAACAT